ATGTATGTATGTATGTATATATGTATGTATCTATAATTGTCTAATTATGTGTATTTTGAGACATAAAGACAACATTTTCGCAATATATGCTTTATATTTCTAATAAATAATATGCATATATGATGATATTTATATGGTAACATAATAATATACTAAATTATGTATATATGAAACTTAATTTAAGGGAATAATCTTACTAAAATTAAAGATTTTTTTCCTTAAAAGCTCATTTATTATTTATAAAAGAAAAAATTGCCTTAGGATATCCTCATTAAAAAGTGTCCATGATAGGTCTTAAAACTTTAAACTTATTTTAATAATATTATTGCACAAATCTCAAAGAAGATCTAAAAATTTTGCAGCCCATCCATACTGAAAAATTGTTCATAATGTTTTGACACAATTTTTACCATCATAAAATGTTAAGTGAGTGCAAATTAAACATGTCGGTCGCATTAATCAAATTAAGATATAACATGAAATAAGATTAGAATAAAAATTATAGTAGAATGTTAAGATATAAAATGTATAGGAATGAGCTTGAAAATCATTATGATTATTTTTAAATTAGTATGCATTGTAGTAATTTGACCAAAACAAAATGTATTGCACTAATCTCAAAATAAAGACCATGATATCAAAGTCCACCTTATAATAACAAAGAAAAATAGATATGTTCTTGGTAATTACATATGATAAATGACAAGGTAAAGCGGTTATTTTATTGTTCTTTTGGGGAGAATTTAAATACATGCTACTCAATTTTCCTTCCCTTAAACATTCATTAACAACCTCCTGACAGAAGAAAAATTCACTTCATCCCATGTGTGAAAGGTTGGGGCTTAAGATATGCAAAATTACAAACTCAAAATTCATTTATTCCAAGGAGGTCATACATAAGCTTTAAGCAGAATGAAATGAGCTTCTTTCCATTTATCCATTTTGTGTACAGGATAAATTTTTGAAACATGTTATTTTTATAATAATTTTATTTAAAAAGACATAATAATAATTATTATTATTTATAAAACGATATCTACGCATGCCGCGACTACCCTTGGACTGGTGTGGCTAAGCCAGTTTAAGCATGGCCACACCTGAAAGTTGCAAGACGTGGCCACATTGGAAATTTATTGGATGTTTTCTCTCTGATATTCAAACAAAACTCAATTCAAGTTTTACTTGGTATTAAGGCTTAGAGTGATCTTGAGATTGAGAAATTAGATGTAAAGACTACATTTTGGCATGGAGAGTTCGAAGAAGACATCTATATGTAGTAATCTGAGGATTTCATGGTTAGAGGGTATTTCTTGGTTAGAGGAAAGGAGGTTGTTTTTTTTTTTTTGGGGGCTGAAGAAATCTCTTTACAGTTTGAAACAGTCTTCTAGGCAGCCGTTTAAAAGATTTGACTCGTTCATGATTGCTCGTAAGTTTAAGATAGGTAGTTGTGATAGTTGTGTTTACTTTCATAAAAATAAGAAAGGATCGTTTATTTTCTTGCACTTTTGTGTTGATGATATGTTGATAGCTGCTAAAAATAAATAAGATTTCAAGACGTTAAAAACTCGATTTATTAGTAAGTTTGAGATGAAGGATTTGGGAGATGCATGGAAAATATTTTGCATGGAGATTTAGAGCGAGAGAATTACGGGTAAATTATTTCTAAGTCAGAAAAGATAAATTAAAAAAGATTTAATATGCATAATACTTGGCACTCCATTAGCTGCACATTTCAAACTTTCATTGCTTTGTGTTCACAATCTAATTATTAGATTGAATATGTCTCGAGTTCCATATTCCAACATAGTGGGATATCTCATGTATGCTATTGTAAGTTCTCGTCAAGATTTATCAAAAACTATCATTGCAATTAGTAGATAAATGAGTAATCCAGGTAAAGAATATTAGAAAGCAGTTCAGTGGATCCTCGGGTATCTATGTGAAATAAAAAAGGTTGTTTCATAGTGTGGAAGGATTAAAGATCGAGTCATTGGCTATGTTGATTCAAATTCTGCTAGAGATCTTGATATAAAAAGAACACTTGCATGATACATGTTTACTATTGTTGGCTATGCGATTAGCTGGAAGGCTATTTTATAAACAATAGTGACACTATCTACAATTGAAGTTGAGTACATAACAATTATTGAAACTTGAAAAAAAGCTCTATGGCTGAAAGGTCTATTTGAAGAGCAAAGAAAAAGTCTGAAGATAATCACACTAATGTGTGAGTCAGAGTGTTATTTATCTCAATAAAAATCAAAATTTTCAAGAAAGTACTAAGCACATTGATGTTTGTAATCACTAAATTTGTAAAATTATTGCTCGTGGTGATATTTTTGTGAGCAAGATTAATACTCATAATAATCATGAAGATATGATCACTAAAGAATTTCAAATAGCTAAGTTTGGGCATTGCTTAGACTTAGTTGGTATTCATTTCTGATCATTAAAGCTTTGTAGAAGAGGTGGAGAAAATTCTACTATACAATCTTTGGAAGTGACACCGGTTTTGTGGATCATGCTTATCATCTCATAAAAAATTATGATAACATTGATTGAGGCTTTAGAAGGAACCTGTGAGCATACTAATTGAAGGTTTCAACCATTAGATCAAGCTTATAATTGCCTTTAGATTACAATTCGTGTGTTATTGCTTTATTGGTTCTATTTTAGGGTCTGTTTGGGGCAGCGCTTGCCCAGCTTCTCCTGATAAGCAGCTTATCCTGATAAGCTGCTGATGAGCAGCTGATCCGGATAAGCTGACTGACTGTCTAGTTTCAGCTGGTCGAAAACAACTGATTTGCAGCTGTTTCTGGAAAAATGACAATTTTACCTCTGTACATCAGCAATTAAATATTTATGAAACCGATTAGCCATCAATAATAATTTTATGAAACTAATTATATTAACTTATAATTTAATATTAATTAATTAACTATTGATTATATATTAATTATATTAATTAATACTCACTAGAATTTTATAAATTAATTAAAATCAATATATAATTTAAAATTTTTTATTAATTAATCATTGTACAGTTATATATTGATTTATCTAATTATAATTAATTTTGATAACAATATTTATTTAATTAATTAGTACTAATCAATTAAATTAATAAAAAATAAACTTAAAATAAGGTTAAATTAACGTTAAAATAAACTTAAAATAAAGTTAAATTAAAATTTAAACAATATTTATTTAATTAATCCTCATTTTCCACTCTTTTTTTTCTCCGTGAAACCCTTATCTGCGCCTTCCCCTTCCTCTTCCCCCTCCCATTT